GGTTGCCCTGTCACCTGTCACCTGTCACCTTTGACTATCGAAATTTTTTTCTTCTAGTGAAGTATAAAGATTTCATACAAAATTCATAAATTTTTTTGCTTCCTCAAGTCACGAGTTCAAATCTCACTGCAAGCAACTTTCTTTTTTTGCATTTTTATGATTTGTTTTTAAACTTTTTTGATATAACATTAAGTTTTATGACAAAGTTTTCCATTTTCATATTTTATATCTTCACTTTCTATATTTTAACATGTATTTTAAATTTTTTCCATATATTTTCATACAAATTCAACTTTTTTTTGTCATATTTTAGTTTACCAAGCTGAAATCTGACACAAAGGCACTTTTTCTAGATCTGGATGTTCTTAAATCGTAATCTTGGATTATAATTTATTATATATTTCGACTTTTTGCGGTCTCGAATGACAAAGTCTATACTAGTTTTAATATTTTATGCCATTTTATGATCCAAGATTACGATTTTAGAACATCCAGATCTAGGAAAAGAGCCTTTGTATCAGATTTCAGCTTGTTAAAATAAAATATGTATAAAATATTGATAAAATATGACAAAAAAATTTAAATTTGTATGAAAATATATGGAAAAAATTTAAAATAAATGTTAAAATATAGAAAGTGAAGAAATAAAATATGAAAATGGAAAACTTTGTCATAAAACTTAATATTTTATCAAAAAAGTTTAAAAACAAATCATAAAAATGCAAAAAAAGAAAGTTGCTTGCGGTGAGATTTGAACTCGTGACTTGAGGAAGCAAAAAAATTTATGAATTTTGTATGAAATCTTTATACTTCACTAGAAGAAAAAAATTTCGATAGTCAAAGGTGACAGGTGACAGGTGACAGGTAAACCTGTGACAGGTAGATTTTTTCTACCTGTCAACAGGTGACAACCTGTCACAGGTGAGGCCTGCGACAGGTCAGAGCTGTGACAGGTGGAAAAAATTGACCTGTGAACAGGTAACGTCCTGTGACAGGCAGAACCTTTGACAGGTCAGACCTGTGACAGGCGAAAAAAATTGACCTGTGAACAGGTAACGACCTGTGACAGGCAGAACCTTTGACAGGTCTGACCTGTGACAGGCGAAAAAATTTGACCTGCGAACAGGTACCGGCCTGTGACAGGTAGAACCTTTGACAGGTCAGACCTGTGATAGGCGAAAAAATTTGACCTGTGAACAGGTAACGGCCTGTGACAGGTGAGCTGTTTTTGTTGACCTGTGACAGATCGCAACTCTGGTTAAACGGTTAAATCTTCAGAAAATGTGAAATTTGTTCATGAAAATTCTCTTCATATACATGATTTAGCCAGTGATTGATTAATTTAAGTAATTCTAAACTGAATTATCTTCAAATAGATGTGAGTTCTACTTAATAATATGCTGTAATTAACGAGAAAACTGAGAAAAACTGCGTCAAACGGTTAATTTGCAACCGATTATTACAAAACACACGTAGGATAAAAATATTCAAATCTTTTTAGACCGTTAAATGTTTCCCTGTATTTAAGATGTTTTAAACTTTTATTCTATAGCTTATATCTAATATCAACTGGTCTCAACTTTAATTAATGATTATTTCCGATAAAATATTTATTTCACAAGAATAATTTCGATTATGTTATAACGGTCAAAGTAAATTTGAAAATAACAAGTTGAAAAAAATCAAGGCCATAGAACTCCGTGCACTATGTCTGCAATCACTACTTTTTTACTCAACTTTACAAATTTTTACTTATGTTTCAGTACACTTCCTATACAATGTATCACAATCACTGCAATTACTAAACTTTACTGCACTTAACTCCTCTTTACTTCTTATTACTATATTTAAGTATACTTTACTACACTTTACTTTACTTTAGTACACTTTACCACACTAAGCTTAAATTTTTCACACTTTACTACACTTCAGTGCACTTTAATCCTACTTTTCTATACTTTATTTTTAATCAAATTAATTAGTGCATAATTTCAATCTAAATAGTTAAAGGTCTCTTAAACATGTGGTCCATTAATACGTTATATACTTTCAAAAAAAATTTAAAAGAAAATGTTTAAAAACTTAACTAAAGGTTATAGAATTTAAAATATTATTTCTTTATTTGTTTTTTATTCTATCATTTAAAACCAAATTTAGCTGATGGAAAAGAAAGAGCTTAGAAAAACATAAAGCACTAATGCTGCTAAAGCAGAAATAATTTCATTCATGCCAAAGAAATTTCTAATTAATACCTTAAGTTTGTAAGGAAATTTGTCAAAAATAAAAGTATAGTATAGAAAAATTGAAAAATTTAAAAAAAAAACCTAAAATGTTGTACTTTTGATTTTAAAGATGAGTATTTTTAATTGAAAACTTTATTTTAAAATTCAGAAGAAATGTTTTTTAATAATTTTTAAAAAATTACAGAGATCGAAGCTGATTTTTTCGGCTTAACTCAAGTTTTGATTTTTTTGATAGAAAACAGCTATTTAACACACATTTCAAGTATTTATATTGGAGTTTACATGCTTTACTATGATTTTGTGTAATATTTTGTCAGCATGTAGCTATAGTAAGCTCAGAATGTCAAGTTAAACGATTTTAAGCCGAAATTTAAGCCGATCGGCTTATCATCGACTAAATTGAAATTCTGAGCTTACTATAGCTACATGCTGACAAAATATTACACAGAACCATAGTAAAACATGTAAAGTTCAATTTAAATACTTAAAATGGTAGTTAAATGGCTCTTTTCTATCAAAAAAATCAAAAATTGAGTTAAGCCGAAAAAATCGGCTTCGATCTCTGAAAAATTATGAAAAATTTTGCTTTAGCTTTAATTTTCTTCTCGAATTGACTCGAATTTGATTTTTTGATGCAACCTCACATTAAAAAAAACTAATAAGGACAATTTGTATTAAGTTTAAATTTTTAAAAAGCTATAAAAACAAGCTTGATATAAATTAGTTTCAATTTAATGGCATTTCAAAATTGAATCACTTTACAATATTTAACTACACTTTGCTCATATTAACTTAATTTTACTCAATAGTTTGTATACGTTACTGCACAATGCTCACTCACGGCTATAGTATTTTGGGAGTTCTATGGCCTTGAAAAAAATTGTAAGTCTTTTTTTTTCAGTTTCGTTTTCTCCCTTTATAACAAATCCTGTTGAGTTCAAGAGTTTTTTGTTGAGAAAATTAATTTATTTGGTTAAAAAAGAATTGTTAATTATAGATCTCACGTAAATAATATTATGTAATATTATAATATAATTTTAAATTATGATTATGAGCATTATGAGTACCTTTAATTTAAAATAAACTTAAAGGAACAACGCATCAAACACGCAGGAATTAGCAAGTATTAAGTTAAAAACGAATATCAACTTCCAGGAAATAAACTGTATCTTTTGTTTTTCTGAAGAAAAAATTCATTTAAAAAGAAGAAAATTTTCATAATTATTCATCAAATATTTATGACGTCACAAAAATAAAAATTGATAATTTCCAAAATTGCAATTTTGGAAAATAAACAATTTCCAAAATTGCAATTTTCTGAAATTGACAAAATTGCAAAATTGCTTTGATCAAAATTGGCAATTTTCATAATTTTCATTTTGATTTATTTTCAAAATAGAGCAATTTTCATTTTATTTTTATATTCACACCGTTTTCACGTGTGAATCTATTGGTTTTGTTCAGATTGAAAAATCAGTTTTTCGCATTTTGTGAGAAAACAAAGCAAAATTGGTTATAAAAGGGCAAGAAGAAAAGTTTGTGCCTGAAATTTTACATCATTTTCAAAAAACAGATTTCAAATTGGTTGTGGCATTGCTGAGAAAATCGCAAAATACGCTTTCTGTAAGCAAACAAGCAAGCAAGCAAGCAAGCAAGCAAGTTAATCAGCAAGAAATCTCAATAACGAGACATCGTAGAGACTTCTAGTTTTTTACATTTGATCCGTGCTGCTCTATAGAAGAGCTGTATTGTTTTTGGGCAAGGTAGGAACAGCCCTTGCTTCAGAAATGGCAAAAAACTTTCCATTCTTACGAATTTTTTAAAACAAAAGTTGACTGTGATTTTTATAAAATTCAACTTTGGATGAAATTTTTTTTTAAAAAACTTTTAAAGAATATTTGGCATATTCGTCAAGCTTTATACCTTCAAACTTATGTTGAGCGTAGCTCAGCTGACTCGATAGCTTTATATCTTCAAACTTATGCTGAGCGTAGCTCAGCTTACGCGATAGCTTTATAACTTCAAACTTATGCTGAGCGAAGCTCAGCTGCCTCTCTAGCTTCATATCTTCAAACTTATGCTGAGCGTAGCTCAACTGACACTCTAGCTTTATATCTTCAAACTTATGCTGAGCGTAGCTCAGCTTACGCGATAGCTTTATAACTTCAAACTTATGCTGAGCGAAGCTCAGCTGCCTCTCTAGCTTCATATCTTCAAACTTATGCTGAGCGTAGCTCAGCTTACGCGATAGCTTTATAACTTCAAACTTATGCTGAGCGAAACTCAGCTGCCTCTCTAGCTTCATATCTTCAAACTTATGCTGAGCGTAGCTCAGCTGACACTCTAGCTTTGTATCTTCAAACTTATGCTGAGCGTAGCTCAGCTTACGCGATAGCTTTATAACTTCAAACTTATGCTGAGCGAAGCTCAGCTGCCTCTCTAGCTTCATATCTTCAAACTTATGCTGAGCGTAGCTCAGCTTACGCGATAGCTTTATAGCTTCAAACTTATGCTGAGCGAAGCTTAGTTGACTTATCAAGCTTCATACCTTCATACTTATGATGGGCAAATCTTGGTCTATCCATAAGACTTATGATAGTACGGTGTGAATATAATCCGCATTGGGTTTCTACCCGATACACTAGTCAAACTCTGATTCTTAGTCGATTTTCGCAGTACTGTTTATTCATGGATTTGCCCATATTAAAAAAAAATAACTTCTCTTAAGAGAATAAAGAAATCAATGCTGAAACTTACCAGTTCTTCGTGCTCTTGTGTCTGTGGGATGAATTGTTGATTTTAATTATTTTTTTCATACATTGGCGAAGCAAGGAGGATGATGGCGAGCAAAAAATTTTAGCTTAAGGGCAAATCCATGAATAAACAGTACCACAATGATTCAGATTCGGAAAAAATGTTCAAAAATTCCTTGTGCACAATATTTTTCCGACACGTTATAAAATTGAAAATTTTTGCTAATTTCTCTTGATTTGATTCTTTTAGCATCTTCTACATAATGTTTTCGTTCATTGTTCAAAAAATCAGTCCTTTATATAAAGGATAAACATGATTTTTTACCAAAAGTTTGTAAAAGTTTATCAAAAAATATTGTGCATGATCAAATTTTGTATGAAAATGTATGTAGACTTTGAACGCAAATATCTCGAAAACGGCATGTCCTCAGTAATACGGGAGATAGATTTAAGCTTAATGAATTGATTTATATAGGTTTCGGAGAGGTCTTTGGAAGACTTTTTAACTTTTGAATAGTTTAAGTTTTGTAAAAATACTCAGATTTCAATTGCATTTTTAAGACTTAATCAGCAACTTTCTTTTGATATGGTAGTTTTAATATGCAGATCTAAGCTTAATTTAGCTAACAGCAGCTAGCAAGATATGGAAATAATAACTTAAAGTAGATAAAATCGAAGTTTTTATTTCATATACAAAATGTAAACAAATTTTTGTTGAAAATAAATTAAAGATTTCTGGAGTTAGACATCAAATTGAAAGGAGATATTTTCACTGAATATGCCTTAAGTTAAGATCTTTAATCTGGCATTTAAAAGATGTAGTTTAATTAATATGTTATTTTTGAATTTTTGAACATTTTTTCCGAATCTGAATCATTGTGAGTACTGCGAAAATCGACTAAGAATTCTTCTCAACTTGATAAATTCAAAAAAACCGTTAAAACCAAAAAATAATTAAGTTTAATTTACTTCCTGAATTATTTTTTATCAAAAACAGTGCCAATTTACATATTTTAGATCTAAGATGGCTAATGATCTAATTTAAGGCTTAAAAAATTAAATTTATTTTGTTTGGAGACAAATTTTAACAAAATTTTCTGTTTCAAACCGTTTTGAATACATTTGTGTTTTGCATTAATGAGTCGAAAAATTAACAAACTGACGCTAATTTTGTAAATATCTCTTTAATTAAGCATTTTATTGAGATAGAAAGAACACATAATTAAAGCTAAGACGAGCTAATCTAATGTATATCTTTTCTCGACGATAAAATGCATATTTAACTAGAAAATGGAAAAAGTATGGGCCGCATCAAAAATTAATTCTACGTCATCGGAGACCACTTTTTCTTATTTTTCATTAATTTTCTCCATTAAAGCATTTTATATTTTTAAATAGTCTTATAGAACTCGCCGAGACAAAGATTTTAATAACAAATTTAAGTATGTACAATGTCTATTTCGTTCTGTAGAGCCATTCGAATATCCTCCGATGACGTAAAATTTTCGGGAATGGGTTTTTTGAGGAGACAAGACCTCTCATATCTTTTTAATTTAAATCTTAAACTTAAATATTTCTGCACCAATTTGTGCATGTTCATCTAGTTGTTCATTTAAATTATCATTTTAAACAATAAAATGATTGGAAGTTACTTAAATTAACACTTGGGCGATTCTCCAGAAAAATGGAATTTTTTAAAAGTGAATTGTTATCTTCTTTTACTTGACACTTCAAATTTGAGAAAACCGTTAAAAAATATTTATTTCAAACAATTTTTCCGGTTCTATGGTTAATTGAAGGTTGAAAATTTAATTTATATGCATTTTAATGATTATTAGAAGATAAAGTTTAGATCATTAACATTTTTGTGCCAAATAAACTACTGAAAGTTTTAAGATCTAACGGTTTTTTAAATTTTAAATTTTTCGTTGAGCAGATTTTCCCTTATAAAGCGTTTGCGTTGCTCGGCAACATTGAATTTTGTCCGAAGAATCGATTTTTCTCTTAATTAACGCATTGAGACAGTTAAAAGTAATTTAATCATTTAAATGCGATTAGATATGACATGATAATTATTAAAAGATGAAGGATTAAAAGAATTGAAAAAAAAGATATGCATTTATTTAAATGTGAAATATTTTTTCTATAAAAATTTTATTTTGCTATAAAATTTTCTCATGGAATTACCCATAAAACAAGAAAAAATATTACACATTTAAGTAAATGCAAATCTTTTTGTAGTTCTATTAATCCTTCATCTTATCATAATTATTATATCATATCTATTCGCATTTAAATGATATAATTAATGTTAATTGTCTTTTAATGTTTGATTTAACCAACGGTTTTTCGAGATTCAAATTATATCCTATAAGTTTTTACCATAAAAATTTTCGTAAAAATGAACATTCGTAAATTTGTAATTCGTAATAACGGTTATTCGTTATTTTGCCTTTCGGGAAAATACAAAACACTCGTTATTTAAATATGATAAAACTAAAGATTTTCTACCATTTAGTATGTATTAAGTGTAATAAAAATATTTCTTTGATAGTAATTTTTTGATTCTTCGTAATTGAATTCCATTTTTGGTTGCCGAGCAACGCTTAAAAAAACTGAAAAAACTAATGATTTAAGCTAATTAATGATTTCTAAATGACTTTAAGAGATAGAATTTGGAAAAATACATCTCTTTTAATTAAGAACAAACATGCTTTAGTGGGAAAATTTAAAGAAAAATCAATTTGAAAGTGATTTTTGGCTAATTTCCCCGCTGGAGAGTCGCCTACTTTAAATTTTAAAATTTTGCAACGTTTGTCATTTTTTCGAATTTTCTTGCGTCGGTGAAACAATTTTTTGTCAACAAAAAAAAAATTTCTTTCGAAAATTGCTGCAAACATGCTTAAAAGCTTAAGTTGCCAATGATTAAAGGCCAGGAGTATGTTTTTTATGTTCCATTGTGTGTGGCAAAAGCGTTAAAGTTAGGAATCGATGTGTATTAATAGGATTTTCAGATATTAGATTTTGGAAAATATTCTCAAAAATCCGGGAAGTTTTAGGAAATTTTCAAATTTTTTTAAACCGTTGCTTTGAAATTCCTTTTATTTTTGACGTGGCCCGTATAATATTCAATTTTCGTAGAGTTAACAATCAGACGCTTAAGTTTATGTAATAAACAAGTACAGAATATTCTATATATAATGCTTAAAAGGCTCAGCTGTTTGAGCCGAAGGCATTGCGATTGAAAAGTTACTAGGGTTTTTGAATTCTTCGAAAAAAAATTTTTGCTCCCCTCCAACTACCCTGGATACGCCACTGATTCTAATTATTAAAAACATTTTTATGAAACTTACGGATGAAATTGAATTCCTCATCTTCTGACTCGCTGTGTTGTTCAACTGTGTAAAAATATAAAAAAAAAAATAAATCATAGATAAGATAATAGTAAAATCAAGAGAAGTTTTATCTTACAAAAATTACAATATCAATATTTACAGCGATCAATATTTGTTTATTTAATTATTTGGCGTTCACTTACATATCATGAGATCTGAAGATCATTAATTTTAGTGTAATTAATAAATAATTGCAACGAATTTCCATATAGAAAGACTTTATTATTTAGCTGTTTTGTGAATTTCAAATTTCTAACGGTCAATAAATATTTGAAAATTTTCCCGTTAAAAGCTGCACGGCAAAAGCATTAATTATAGTTTAAGGGCAATTCCACACATTGATTTTTCCAAAATATTCATCTTTGAATTGAATTTTCTCTTAATTAGCACAAACATATGTAAAACGCCGAGTTCTTTCATTCTGCCTAACTCATAAATCTTTTCATGCCTTAATTAATGAAATGTTTGGATTTTTGTCAGCGTTGGTATATTACACAATGGATGTTATGCTGTACATTCTATCCTCTTTTATGATTCTGCATACTTAAATTGACTTGAAGACATTAAATAGACAGAAAAATGAATAATTTTAATGCAATCAATGTAATATACCAACGCTTAAGCCAAATCAGTGAGAAAATGATTTTTAAAAAAGCAGCTTTTACTTTAATTAACAATTATTTCTTTGTCTAGAATGTTGTTTCTAAAAGTTTAATAGTCAATAATGAAGATCTTTAACTCGTTTTAAAAGGTGTAAGCTTAGTTAAAGTATATTTTTGAAGCTCGGCCGATTATTTCTAAATGCATCGTTTTAAGTGTTTATCTCAGAGATCGAAGCCGATTTTTTCGGCTTAACTCAATTTTTGATTTTTTTATAAATTCTCTTCCCATAAAAGCCAAAAAATCAATAATTTAACCTTAGCTGTCATTATCACCGAGGTCGCTACTAGCTTTACTAGGTTTGCCGAATTAAAAACCTAGTTTGAAGATATTTTTTGAGGAAATGTGTCTCATTTGATAGATTTCGGGGCTAATATACAATTATTTTGATTAGAACACATAGTAAATCAATCAATTATAACATTTAAAGTTTAGCTAGTTTATTACTTTAGCTAATTTTTATATCAATATTCTGAACTTAAAATGTATCCAAAGATTTTTGGGGACATTATTTAAAAATTTTTAAAATTATTTTAATAATCCTAATAATCCCAAACCTGGGACCTGGGATACAGTGCAACCTGTCGAAATTTTTCTTTTTTATAGAGTGTAACCTGTTCAAATTTTTTGACTACCTCTATAATTTCAAATTTTAAAAAACCGTTAAATGATAAACTTTTTTTATATGGAAATTCATTGCAACAAATTATTAATTATACTATTTTTATTTTTGTTGTGCAATTTATAGCGGAAAAATTTCAAATTATTTATTGACCGTTAGAAAATTTTCAAAAAAAACGTTTAATGATAAAGTCTTTCTGTACAAGCATTCATTATAATTATTTGTTAATCAGCACCGTGAGAAAATGCTTTTTAAAAAAGCAAAATGTACTGTAATTAACAACCATTTGCTTGATTAGAATGTTTTTTACATAAATATAGATGATAATGTGGGTGTTAAATTAGTTTTTGCCAAGCTTTTATTAAGTTAAAATACATTTAAAAAATTTTGAACCATCAAGTTCGAGAAGAATTACAACTCATTTGTAATAAATTCCACTGATCCATGGAATTGCCCTGCTACAAATTATTAATTATACTATAATTGATGTTTTTGTAGTGCAACTTTTAGCGGCAAAATTTCAAATTATTTATCGACCGTTAAATAATAAAGCCTTTCTATATAAGCATTCATTATAATTATTTGTTAATTACACTAAAATGAATGATCTTCTAATCTTCTAATGATCTGTAAACGAACGCAAAATAATTAGATATTCAAATACTGATCGCTGCGTCAAAAATGCGCTGAAGTTTCTCGATCAATAATACGAGGATTTTTGTAATTTTTTTATTTTAATTTGGTAAGATTTTAGATTAATTGCATTTTACTTACTATTTGAGGTTGTTGCGCATTCACCAATATTATCTGTAAATGTATTTAAGATGATTTTCTGTTACTAACTGAACTCAAATTATTAAATTAAAGAAAAATTATAAACCTATACCAAAGTTCGCAAACCAAAAACGCAAAAAGGAAGAACTGTTAAAATTATATTTTAGATAAATTATTTTTATAAATTTTGCTCGAAGTAGTTTTTTTAGAAATGACTGGAGTTTTTTGTTAATTAACCCGTTAATTACGGAATTTTTTTGGGACATTAGACTGCATTTATTTGATGAATTGCAGTATAAAAATAAGTTTGACGAAGAGTTTGGCTCAAATTAACGCACAGATTTAATAGAATTAACAAATTGTGTCCGTAACATAAATGTTACGCTAGGATTTTGCAAGCAAAAATTTTTTTGTGCCAAAAATTTTAATTTTTTTATTTTACCTCTTTCCTTAACATATATCAATAATGCAATACTTTATAATTAATAATATACTATTTAACTTAATTAGAGTCCAATTTAAATACTCTAATGCATAAGAATACGAAAATAACTCAAATCTATTCACACTTTTATTTTATGTCATATCTTTAAAATGAGACATTTTTCAGCGTTCGGACCTCACCAACTCGTTATTTCCATTCTATTTTATTAATCAATGCACTATGAAACACTCGCAATCAGTCTAAATCTTAGAAAAATCACTTTCAAATTTTCTCTTAACTTTTTTCATCAAATTTTTTCAAATGTAAAAATATCTTCCTTGAAACACTAATTTTATTATATTGGCCACAAAATACTTTACTCTTATCATAATTTAGCTGCCCACATAATGATTCGGCTTAAATCAAAGTCAATTCAATTAAATTAATTAAATAATATTTTAAATCCAAAACACTAATATAATTGCAAAAACCTAGCGTTACACATATGTAACGGGCAAATTATACCATATTTTCCTAGCGTTACATATATGTTACATTTATCATCGTCACATAGTTAATGTATTTAACTATGCTTTACCTTTATTAATAAGTTTTTAACTATAATTATAGATGATTTACTTTATAAATTTGAGTTTTAAAATGTTTAAATTTTCCATGTAAAAGAAAAGTTTAATTAACTTCTCCAATTTACATAATTAAACAACATGAAATGTAAAGGGAGGTACTTAATCTAGCTATAAACGATAATCATTGATCAAATTCAACGTAAAATCAACTATTACAGAGAATTTTAAGAAAAAGTTGGCGTAACATATATGGGCAAGATCAGAAAAAAAAGGGAAAAAATATTCAAATTTAGATTTCTCTGCTTTTAATAACTTAATTAATATGATTCCTTCACTACATGATAATTAATAGTAGTAAGTTTCTTTTTAACATTCATTTTTCAAAATGGCGGCGTATTAAGATAGTTAAATTAACAAATCAATATTTTAAATCGATTTTTCTTTGAAAAGAAAGCGAGATAAATGTTTGGACGCTTGACAAAAGTTGTAGAGCTTGCCTTTTTCTATCATATGATCTAAATAGATTTTATTAAAAAGGAGTTATTTTAGTTAAATTAACTGAAAACTAAATTGAATGTAAAATGTATTTTTAAATCAAAACTATTAACTCTAATCGGTCAAGAACAATTACTTGGTATCTAAAGCGTCTTTTACTATTTAATTTACATTCGAAAAAGGCTTAAAAGTAAGTTAAATTAACTATAAAAACAATGCAATTTTAGTTGAGCAACAAATTTTGCTCTTATTTGCTCACAAATTTGCAATTTTAAAAACCGTTACAAAATTTTTGGTTAAATTTTTTACTATAATTTAATTTTCTCTGCTTGTCTTGAACAAAAAGTAATATTTCTATTGCAATATGATAAACATTGTTTAATTCTATAGTTTGAAATGAAAAAATCAGTAGACGAATAACACAGCAATGACTTATGACTAGTTTTGTAAAACTCATCATAACTTGTTTAATTATAGTAGAATTGAAAATAAAGAAAGGTAGTTCCTAAACTATTTCCTTCATATCAAAATTTCAGCTTCAACATTTCAAAGCTGAATTAAACTAACTTACAAATCCGCCATTTTGTTAGTTTTGGACAAAACTTTTATTGAACTGATTACTTCATTATCTAGTGAAAAAATTGTTTTGATTAATATAGACATTTAAATATAGAACCCACTGAAAAAATAGATTTTCGAAGAAAATCCTAGAACCCACTAGAAAAATAGATTTTCGAAGAAAATCCTTAAACCCTATTTAAATTATAAATTTTAGAAGAAAATCCTTGAGCCCAATTGAATTATAGATTTTCGAAGAAAATCTTTATACCCAGCGACAATGAGCTTTTACTATCAACTACTCAAAATGAGCTTTTTTGAAAGCTTTTGACCCCCGAAAGAGTTTTTATAATGTGGTCCCCACCCGAGAACCCCCGGTTCCCACAAAGCCCCCTAGTTTGACTGATTAATTAAAAAATAACTTTAAAATTTTATTTTTAAAAAAAAGCTTTTTGCGCCCCGGGGTAAGAGGTCCGCGGGCTAAAAATTGTTAAATATTGTTTCTAAAGCATAAATAAACATATTACAGTTGATTAAATTGAGAAAAAAAGTGTAGCCAGTAAAGTAAACTATTACCCAAGGAATTAAGTATGATTAAGTCAATTTTTTAAAAAATAAATTCGATGTTTTTTTTTGAAAAATTTTTGATGGTGTTAGTGTAGATTAATTTTTTTTCCAAATTAATCGGCAAGATTTATGTTTGCACCCCTAGAATTAAAGCATTAAAAATACATTTTTAAGAATGTAATTAATGATAGATTAAGCAACTTTTTATCGATGTTTAATCAAAGGGAAGATATACTTAGTTTTTAGACTGTACAGCCACAACCACTGAACTAACTCGTTGAGTTCTATATATAATATTAACTTTTATATTTCTCCTTTGTGTAAAGAGAAATCACTAAAAAAAACCCTTCATATGTTACTCTTAATTTATTTTTGGAATTCACAATGATTCAGATTTGAAAAAAATGTTCAAAAATTCAAACATAACAACTTAATAAAACTATATGTTCATAAAACATTTAAATAAATGTCACCAGCTCATTCAAAAATGAAAATCATAAAAGATGAACTACGTGATAAAATAATATAACTAAAGCAGAATCGGAGAGAATATAAATACATCAAAAAAATTTAAAATGGAATATTTTTATCACATAACATCATACGAAAAAAGTTTAGAAAAATAAATAAAATATGGGGTCGTTCACTTATGACGTCCGAAATTAACGGTAATTTTTCAAAAAAGAACAATGGATTTCCAGGAATTTCTATTGTTCTGTTCTCGCTGACCCCTCCCCCCTGGACGTCATAAGTGGACGGCCCCTAAACAAAAGTTGGTCGTGGTGCGAATTTTATTATTAGAAACATTTTAACTATACTTACCGTTTTGGATATCGTTCTCCATTTGTGCTGAAAAAAAAAGATATATAAGTAAATAGTTTTTATAACTCAATTTTTATATGTGTCAGTTAAATTGTTTTCCAAAACAAAAGTTTTTTAAAAACTTAAAATTGACCTGTTGCCGTTGTGGTTTCAGAGGGTGTTATTGGTGTATTTTGATTTCTTTCTGAAACAACTTCATGGTAAACCATCCTTCTTGGTCTCTTTGGTATATCCGTTAATAGAACAAGATTCTCGCCTGCGGCTCTGCGTAGTGCGAACTGTCTTCTTGTAAGTACTTTGCTCATAACTTTTGTGTTTGTCATTTTCGTTAAAAATTTTTCGAAAATTTTTTTGAAAAAAAAAAAAAATTTTTGAAAAATTTTCAATCAAAGTGAAAAGATATTTTTTGCAAGAAATGTTATATTTTAAGCATCGATTGCCCTTAAGAATTTTTGAAAAACTTTGTCAAAGTTTGAAAAATTTTGTATTGATTCCAACCCCTGCCTTCAAGCATTTAAACATGACAAGCTTGGTTTATCCACAAGACTTTCAATCTACCCGATATACTCTCTAAGATAATGAAACTTTTTAGTGGTTATAAGCAGTTAAGCATACATTATAGAGCTAAGCATTATTATTTCTTAATTTTTCGTTAATTGACTCTAAAAAATATAATGAAATATAAAAATGTAAAAAAATAAAGTAAATACTTTTGAAGTTTGCACACTCGTATGAAAATAAAAAATACAAATTTCTCGAATTTCTCTTAAAATATCAACTTCAAACAATACTTTCTTCACAAAATCTTTGTATAATTATTGTACAAATGTTGTTGTACCATTTTGAACAGTCTAAAGTCATTAGGAAGATGAATTCCTTCTGCAGTCAAAATCTCATACAAAAAGAAACTTTTAAAAAAAATTAAGTTTCAAATAATTGCAGTATTTCTTTTGAGAAAGAATATGCAGAGAGACATTGCAAAATTTGATGTAAACATTAATTTTCCTGATTTAAATATCAATGCTTTAAGTTTGGGATGAAGACAATGGTGAATGGTGCGAAGTCAAGAAAGTCAAAATTTATGCTATGCATCATAACAATAAAAGCAGCAAGTGCTGATTTCATAATTATTCATTCTGTTATCTAAAAAAAAACCCATTAGATGGATAAAGGATTAAATAATAAATTTTCACGATTTTGGAAACTAGAAATTGTCTTTATTTTAAAAATGTTTAGAAACAAAACTTCAGCAGAAATCGATGCAGCCAAGGATGAACATGATTCTTTAAATTTTGAGATAATGGATGCTTTTTTTAACCCTTTTTTGATTTTGATTGATTCTGTAATCATTTTTCTTGAAAATATTTGACGACAGTATTTGACCACAAACTATAATGCTTTTTTTGGAAGTTGACGATATTTCTTGATTAAAAGTTTTATTTTTTCTCTCAAAAATTGTAAACAAATAGTTTGTTTACACAAATTTCATTCAAAAATTTCATGGAAATTTTAAAAATTTGCACAAAAAAGTTTTAAAATTTGCACACTTTTTTGATAGCAATGCATGACATTTTTGTATTTAATTGATGTAAACAATTATTTTTTTTTTTATTTTTTTGGGAAAAGAAATAATGTTTTCATCTCGTAATTTTCAAATCTAATAACAGTATTACTGATTTCTTTTTCTAACATCTTCACATGCATCGTCGTTGAAAATTAATAGGAAAATTGAAGAAAAAAATTCAAAAATCAAGCACAAGAAATCAAACAGGTTCCATTATATGTAAAACTATAGAATCAAGTCCTTGAAATGGATATCTCATATTTAAGCTGATTTTATTCCTATCATTCATCATTAAATAATGGGCCGTTCACTTATTACGTTCGCATTTTAGGTAGGAGGGGGGGGGGGGTGAGTTGTTGCATATTGTAACAAGGGGGGGAGGGGGGGGGGAGGTGAAAAAAGTCGTTTTTTTGCGTAACGTAATAAGTGAACGGCTAAAGACTAATTCTATTTATAAATTTGCAAATTATTATTTTATTTTAATGCCATATCTTTGCTTAATCATGGATATATCCTTAAGAAACAATTTAACACTTGCTACTTTTAAAATTTGATTCTTTTTTCGGTAAAATTTTAATCGCCGATGATTCTTGAATATTTTTCTCAATTTTCCTACAGTCCCATTAATCGCTATCTTCATTTCAGGCATAAAACATTAATGTTTTGTATCCGAAAAATTAATGTTTACATCGAATTTTTCAATACCTTCTACGCTTAAAACTGTGCATATTTCAAAAGTTTCGACAAATTTTTGTGCAAATTTTAAAAGTGAAAAACAAGCTTTTTTAAAAGTGATTTTTTGGGCAGTTCCGCTTATTCTTTCACAAAAGAAATACTTCCAAAATTTTAAACAACTTAAGAACTACATTTTTTGATATCAAAATATTTGATAAAGTTACTGATTGTATCCCAAAACCTTATATTTTGCAAAAATTTGTTTTGTATGAAAAATTGATCGCTGAAGGAATTCATCTTCCTGATGCCTTTAGACAACTTAAAATGGTACAACAACATTTATACAATAATTATACAAAGATTTTGTGAAGAAAGTATTATCAGAAATGGATATTTTGTGAGAAATTTTTATTTTTTATTTTCATATGAGTGTGCAAATTTCAAAAGTATTTACCCTAACTGAACAATTTGAGACTTTGCAAGTGAAAATGAGACTAACAAATTTTTTAGTTTTGGCTTAATTAAACCAAGAATCTGCATAAAAACTATGACATATTATATATTTTCGGAAAGCTCTTGATTTCAGCTACATGAATTTTTAAAGCAAACTTAATTATATTAACAAGGGTTGGAATCCTAAAGGTTTTAAACTGTTGATCTACATACAATTTGGTACGACACACTGTGCCCTGTTCCTTAAAGCAAAGAAATATATATTAAGTGAAATAGAATAACAAAACAACATATTAATAGACAACAGAGAGTTTTTTTCGTTATCATTCCTTGATTTTTTTTTTATTGAGTTATCAAACCTTGGTGATTTTTCTATCTGATTTTTTTTAAAAATGCTCTAGCTCATCCAAATTTTCAAGTATTTTAATACGTCCGTTACATAATTTGAACTTCAGAAAACCGTTAAATGATAAACAATTTATATAGGAGAATGAAAGATATTAAAATGATAAACATACTATAATTAATGCTTTTACTGTAATTTTTGGCAAGATACTTTCAAATGCAAACGTCCGTTACATAATTTGAACTTCAGAAAACCATTAAATGATAAACAATTTGTATAGGAGAATGAAAAATATTAAATTGATAAATATACTATAATTAATGATTTTTCGTATATATTTTGACGGGAAGCTTTCAAAAACTTACTGACCGTTAGAAAATTTGAATCTCAAATAATCGTTAAATGATAAACTTTTTATGTGGAAATTCATTGGAACACATTATTTAATTATACTATAACTAATGTTTTTGTAGTGCAACATTACCTCTTCAATTTCAAAATTTTTCTAGCCGTTGTAAAATTTGAATTACAAAAAACCGTTAAATGATAAATCCTTGCTGTATGGAAATTTATTGCTACAAATTATTAATTATACTATAGTTATTGTTTTTGCAGTGCAACTTTTAGCAGGAAAATTTCAAATTATTTTTTGACCGTTAAATAATAAAGCTTTTCTATATAAGCATTCATTGTAATTATTTGCTAATTGCACTAAAATCAATGATCTTCTAATGATCTGTAAATGAACGCAAAATAAAAAGACAATCAAATGCTGATCGCTAACACAAAAATGCGCTTAAGTCCCTCGATCAATAACACGAGGACTTCTGTAATTTTTTAGTTTATGGGCAAATCCACAGAAAGAATTTTCCTACAAAAAAACAACATCTTTTGCAAATTTCTCAAAAACGGCTTGATTATCTTTGTGCTTTAAAACTCAATATGATAGAAAAACTTAATTTTAATATTTTGTTCAATAATTCAGCTTTCTATGTGCTTTAATTAATGAGTTATTTCAATTTGGAGAGCGTCTGATTGTTAACTCTACGAAAATTGAATATTATACTTTTTCCATTTTCTAGTTAAATATGCATTTTACCGTCGAGAAAAGATATACATTAGATTTTCGCTCGTCCTGTTTTAATTATGTGTTCTTTCTATCTCAATAAAATGCTTAATTAAAGAGATATTTACAAAATTAGCGTCAGTTTGTTAATTTTTCGACTCATTATTGCAAAACACAAATGAATCTTAAACGGTTTGAAAGAGAAAATTTCGTTAAAATTTGTCTCCAAACAAAATAAATTTAATTTTTTAAGCCTTAAATTAGATCATTAGCCATCTTAGATCTAAAATATGTAAATGTTTTTGATAAAAAATAATTCAGGAAGTAAATTAAACTTAATTATTTTTTGGTTTTAACGGTTTTTTTTGAATTTATCAAGTTGAGAAGAATTCTTAGTCGATTTTCGCAGTACTGTTTATTCATGGATTTGCCCTTATATAATAATAATTTATATAATAATATTATAATACTTATGCTTCAAATCTAAGGAAAGCAGCTTAATTAAAGAGAAAAATCGATTTTCCGAACGTCAATTTTATGTCACGGAGCATTTTTAAGCTTTTATTTTACCGATCCCTAAAAAAATTACCAGAAAAACGAATCAAAAAAATTAAAAAACCTACTTCTTTATTTGATTATTATGTAAATTGATGTAAATCTATTAATGAAACTTCATAGAGTAATTATTTTTGATGATTTGAGACTGTGTTGATATTTAAACTCAAATGTATTTAAAACATATTAACCAAAAGATTTTTATCATCCATACTCAAATACCCTTGGATTAAATTATAAAAAAAACTTTTTAAAAAACCACGTTTTTACCCGTAGACTAAAAAGTAGAAAATAACTTTTTTATTGGGTTCAAAGGATATTGGTTTGAAAATTTGAGATCGATTTGAAGGTTTCATACTAAAGTCATGACCATACATGAATTGCAAATTTGTTCACATCGACCATTCGTATAGTTCTACATCTTAAAACGTGGGCGCTTTTTTATGAAATTTATGGGTAAAAACGTGGTTTTTTAAAAAGTTTTTTTTATAAAGTATTTATTTTCTACTTTTTAGTTTTAAAAAATTATTTAAAGTCTCTATAGATCAGCAGTGCTTTGTACAGCATAAGTTTGTAAACTAGACTCTTACCATAGAAAGTAGTGTAACGTATTTTTTGTGATTCAAACTTATAACGGTTTTTTGAA